ACTATAGCTTCAAATGTTTGCATATCAAGCAGCCCAGAATAAAGCCATTCCAATTAATAAGTGAAAACTTCATAAGGTTTCAAGGCCACATAATGGGGAACCATGAATACCACATACTTTTATGTATATCAATCATTATTTACATTAGGATGGCTTTCATTGCATCTCACAGATTCCAGTAAGTTGCATCTGCATTTTCATTTTTCTTGCAGGTATTGTTTAATTTCTTCTGTGACTCACTGATTACTAAAGAGTGTGTTATTCAGTTTCCATGTGTTTGTGGGATATTTGCAGTATCTTATATCATTAATTTCTAATTTCAGAGTGCTATGATCCGATAACATGCAAGGGATGATTTCAACTCTTTTGCATTTGTTTAAATATGTTCTGTGAGCTAATATATGGTCTATTTTAGAGAATGATCCATGTACTGCTGAGAACAATGTGTATTCTGATTTTGTTGGGTGGAACATTCTGTATATGTCTATCAAATCCATTTGTTCACAGGTGTGATTCAGTTCTGTTATTTCTTTGCTCATTTTCTGTCTGGTTGATAGGTCCCTTGGTGTCAATGGCATATTAAGGTCTCCTGTTACAATTTTGTTACTGATAATTTGAGTTTTCATTTCTGTTATTAGTTGTTTTATATAACTGGGTGCTCTGGAGTTTGGTGCATATATATTTAAGATAGTTATCTCTTCCTCTTGGAGTTTTCCCCTTACGAGTATGTAGTGACCTTCTTTGTCCTTTATGGTCATTGTTGGTTTAAAGTTCACGTTGTCTGCAAACAAAATGACTACTCCTGCCTTTTTTTGGATTCCTGCTGCATGAAGAATTGTTTTCCATCCTTGGACTTTCAGTCTGTGAGTATTCTTAGATGGGTTAGATGGGTTTCCTGTAAACAGCATATGGTTGGATTTTGTTTCTTGATCCATTCTGCTAGTCTGTTTCTTTTGATTGGTGCATTGAAACCATTTACGTTAATGGTTATTACTGTTAAATGCTGGTTTATTGTTGACATGTTATCTCTCTGCTGTTGCATCTTTATCTTTCTGTTCTGTTTAATTATCTGCTTTGCTTAGTGGTTTTTTCCTTTTGTATCTAAACTGTCTTTCAATATTTTTTGCAGGGTTGGCTTGGTGTTCATAAATTTCTTCAGCTGTTCTTTGTCATGGAAGTATCGTATTCCACCATCAATTTTGAATGATAGTTTTGCAGGATACATCAGTCTGGGTTGGAAATCATTTTGCTTTAGGATGTAGAATACTTCACTGCATGCTCTTCTTGACTTTATTGTTTGTGCTGAGAAGTCTGCTGTGATTCTGATAGGTTTTCCTTTATAAGTGATCTGTCTTTTCTCTCTGACAGCTTTTAATAATCTATTCTTGTGTTGGATTTCTTGGATGGTGATTATTACATATCTGGGTGTAGTTTTATTTTGGTTATGACTATTTGGAGTTCTATATGCTTCACTGATCCTGATGTCAGTTTCTGATCTCATGCTTGGGAAATTTTCAGCAATTACTTCTCTAAATATCCTCTTGACATCCTTTATGTTGTCTCCTTCTTTTTCATTAATCCCTATCAATCTTATATTATTTTTCTTTTCATCGTCTTGCAGTTGTTGAATTGTTATTTCCTGATTCCTTGTTACTTTTAGAAGATCTTTCCTTTCCTGTTCACTAGCTGCGATCTTGTCTTCAAGGTCTGAAATTCTATCTTCACTTTCACTGAGGTGGTTTTTACAACTTTCAGTGGAGTTTTTTATTTCCTGTATATCTCTGTGCATCTGCATTATGTATTCTGTTTGTTTCTTATATTGCTCATCTAGGGATTCTATCTTTTTGTTTAGTTCCTCCAACATTTTAACTGTGTTTTCTCTAGGTATATTCAAAATCTCTTTCATTTCTTTTATCATTTCTTCCTTTACCTGGGAGATTACTTTGAGTTTGAATTCCTTTAAAGCTTCCTGGAGTTGCTTGTTAATTTCAGTAGCTACTATGTCCAATATTTGAGGTGAGTGGCATATATTTTCTTCTATTGCTCCTAGGGTTTCTTGAGATGGGCTGGAGGTTTGAGGTTGTAAGTTGGTCTTTTGCTTTGTCATTTTCCTATATTTCTGCTATTTGAAAGCTTCCTCAGGGTCTGTTGGAAATCCACTTCTATGTTCGCAGCTCCTGGGTCTCTGACACCCAGTTCCCCCAAGCCACTGGGCCTCTAGAACCAATGGCCCTCTTCTGCCTGTTTATAACTCCATAGTTCCAGATAAGCTGGGCTCCAGGGACACTGTGCACCCACCTGCTTGCTGGAAGCTCCACAGTTCTCTCGATGGTGCAGTGCAGGAGTACCAAATAGGCTGGGCTCCTGGGATAGTGTGTGCCCGCCTGCTGCTGGAAACCCCACAGTTCTCCAAGCGCTGCTCTAATGGGGAGGCGGATGTAGATGCCCCAAACCCACTTATCCACTTCACTGCACCCGGAAGGCTGGAGGGTCCCAAACAATCTGGGCTTTGGGCAGAGGGCACTGAGCACTTACCGCAGGCTGCAGGGCCTCTGGAACCTGTGATGCTCACCTGCTTGCTGAGATATCTACAGTCCTCTAGACACACGGGGTGGCACATGCAGGTGCTCCAGTTCTGCCCAACCCTTCCTCTGCCCAGTAGTGAGATTTCTAGACCATGCACTATTTTTATTTTTTACTTGTTGAGGATCCTCTATAGTGTTTTCCCTGATGACTGCACTAATTTATATTCACAAATAGTGAATAAATGTTCCTTTCTGTCCACAACCTCACCAAGTTATATGTTATCACAGTTACTCCCATTGGGTTGAGATTGCCCTTCATTCTGGATTTAATTTACATTTTATAGGTTCCTGATATTTAGTGATGTTCAGTGTCTCCATTCAAGTCATTTTTAACAAAGGGCTGTATTGATATTTCACATGCACACTTACAAATTTTTTTCTATTTTTCAAAGCTTTGAAATCATCAAGCTTTGCAATCTTTGAGCAGATGCAATTTTATAGGAAGAAGGCTGCTAGGAGCAGAGGGGTAAGAGAGGAGCTCCTTCTCAATGGGAAGCTCTGTAACTACAGCTGCAGAGAGTGAGCATGGACACTTTACAGAGTGATGAGAACTGAGGGAACCCAGGAGCAGGTGCTCCCATAGGAAGAGTCACTTTTGTGCAACACAAAATTCATTAATCCAATAAAAGATAAGACAAACTGGAAAAATTAATTATCAAAATGTATCAATGATCTAAATATAAAACAGAAACACTAAGTTTGTTGGAAAATACAATAGATAGAACTCTTGAAAACAGTGGTATAGGCATAGGCTTTATGAACAAATTCTGATCACACAGGAACTATCGCAAAAATCACCTGCAATCTCATCTCATTATAAAGCTTTTGCACAGCAAGAGAAATAACCACTACAGTGAAGAGACATTTTTTCACAGTGTGGGAAAAAATGTTTGCCACCTTTTCTTCAGTCAAAGGGTTACTATCTAGGATAGAAAGAAATCAAACAAGTCTTCAAAATTAAAGACCCAATGCAAAACAGGGCATCAAAGATAAATATACACTTGTTAGATGAAGAAATAGAAAAGACAATTAAGTAAATGAAAAAAATATTCAACATCCATGGTCATTCAAGAGATGAAAAATTTGAACAACACTGAGGTTACTTCTCTCCCAAGAAACAATGGTTAATGTCAAGTAAACTTCTAATAACAAATGCTGGTGGGGCTTTGGGAAGAAAGGAACCCTTGTTCATTGTTGGCTGCAGTGCAGAAAGCCAGTGTTAAGATTCCCCCAAATCTAGAACTAGAAGTTCCATTTGACGCTGCTATTCTCTTTGGTAACTTCCTGAATTAAAGCCACCATACCACAGTGATAAATGAGAGTAATAATAAAGTTTTTTTTTCCAATTTTTAGTTTTTATTTTTATTATTACTGCATGTGAGCTATATGCATTCCCACTCCTGGTGGAGGTTGGTACAGGGACATCACACAATTTTCTAGCCACTTGTGTCCATGAGGCTGTGCCTACACTGGTATGAGGAAAGCAGAACCACACATGTAGAGGAGTTTGGGACTATGCAGTCACATGGCACCAGGAATAGGTGAAAGAAAAAAGTCACTACTCCTCCTGCTTCCACAAGGCATTAAATAGAAGACCTCGCCTCAATTCCCCAAAGAAAGGAGCCTGTGATGCAACTTCCCACTTTGCCTCCTAAAGTCACACCTGAGTGCCCAGCTTCAGGACGCTGCTGCATCTGCCTGGCTTGGCTCAGACTCAGCCCCTGGAGGAGCAGGAGAGGGGACAGAGGAGTCTGTGCCCTATGCTGTCTGATCCTTGCTGGAGGGTGGCTCACTGAGAAGTCTCTGGAGGACTTCAGCAGATGAGATGTGAGGCATGCCCTGTTTCCTTGCTCTCTTTCCTGTAATTCTAACTTCTCCTGTAACCCTGACGTCTTTTTGCATTGCATTTCCTATTGCTGTGCATTGCTGCTTCTGTGCACTCTTCAAAGCTGGGGTACGGTGATGCCAAGGCCCTTCCACACCTCAGTTTGTCCTGGGGCTCCTGACTCTCTGGTGCTCTAGAATACCTTTGTCCTTTGAGAGTTTATAGCACAGTTGTGTCAAGAGGGACTCAGGCCATTTGACTAAAAATTTAAAATAGATGCATTTGGGTTGAGCACTTCCTAAGGAAAGCTGTGTATTTGCAGAAGAGGTTTTTTTGTTTTCAAAGTAACTGAGATGCAAGACTAGAGGTATTCCTTCACAAAAGTACAGGCCTGCAGCTTAACAGCTATTTAACAAACCCTGCTGCCCTTAATGCTGGACACTGCAGGAAGTATGGCAGAAAAAAATCATGTCTGCAAAAGGGAAAATGAACACTTGAGTCAGTTTACAACTAAATACAAAGTTCATATTTAGGGGATCTGCATGTCTTGTTTCTGTAGTTTCTAAGACCATTTGTCTGCAGAACAGTTAATGAAGAACTTCCTGGGTCTCGAGGTGGATCCTGGGGTCCAGCAAGCCCTGCCCCTCCTGCCTTGCTGCAGGGCTGTGTTTGGAGCTGTTCTTCCAGGCCAGCTGCTAGTCCCACCCAGTGCTAGTCCCCTGACCTCTCTGTTCACAGAACTCAGTGGTGTGAGGAGCAGCTGGGAAGGTGGCATGAGGGGAGGGGCTCTAACAGAGGTGTGTGATGGAGGAAGGTGTTTAAAGGGTGCAAGGTTCCCAGGGAACCTCAGGCAGGGTTTCAGTACCCTCCACAGTGTTAATGCTGCTAGTTGCCTCGGGATTTCTGTCACTGAGCCTGAAGAGCTACTGGGTGTGGAAGTTCTCGAATACAGCAATTTGACTCCTGTCACAGACTTAATGTGTTTTTGACTTTAGTCTCCAATCATTCCTAAAGCCAGGCTTTGTATATTCCAAGGTTGGGGTAAATAAATAAGACTTAGTGCAGACACCTGTCTCTTTCTGGAGCTCATTTTCACTTCATGGTGCCCCAAGGTCTGTCTGTATTTCACTCTACCTAGTAGCCAAAGTCCAGCTTGACCTTTCCGAGGTCTGAATTTATGATCCCACCTCAGTTTAACCCAACATTTGTATAAATAGCACGAATTGCATGCTTCACCAGAAGTAGAGTCCTGTACATACAGTGGTTATAAAATCCTGATTCTGTTTCTCCTCAGGTGAGAATTCTATGCAGACACGTACTTGGGGAGTCTAACTCCATGGAATCAAACTTCAAGCACTGACTTCATCCTTGTGGGTCTCTTCATGGACACCAAGCATGCCGCTTTGCTCTACACCATGATCTTCATATTCTTCTTGCTGGCCCTGGCCAGCAGTGCCCTCCTCATTGCCCTGATCTACTTGGACCTCCACCTCCACACGCCCATGTACTTCCTCCTCAGCCAGCTGTCACTCATGGACCTCCTATACATATCCATCACAGTGCCAGAGATGCTTGTGGGCCAAGTCAATGGAGATCACACAATTTCCCCCTTGGGCTATGGGATCCAGATGTTCTTCCACCTGACCCTGGCTGGGGCTGAGTCCTTCTTCCTAGGAGTGATGGCCTATGACGGATACGCTGCCATTTGCAGACCTCTCCACTACCCACTACTGATGAGCCCAAGGGTGTGCCGACTGCTGGCAGACAGGTCCTGGTGTGTGAGGATACTGGATGCCCTGCTGATCGCCCTCATTACCCTGAGCTTCCCCTACTGTCAGTCCAGGAGAATCCTGAGCTTCTTCTGTGAAGCCCCCACCCTGCTCAAGCTCTCCTGCTCCGACATCTTCCTCTACAGCTTGCTCATGTACCTGTGCTGTGTGCTCATGATCCTGGTCCCCATCCTGGCCATTTTGGGCTCCTACACCCTGATCCTGTGCCTCATCCAAAGGACAAACTCAGCCAAGGGCCACAGCAAGGCCTTTGCCACCTTTCCTCACACATAATCATGGGGGTGCTATTCTATGGAGCCACCCTCTATGCCTACATCCTTCCCAGCCCCTACCACACAGCCCGGCAGGTCACGATGGGGTCTGCCTTGTATACCATCATTACGCCAGTGCTGAACCCTCTCATCTACAGCCTGCAGAACAAGGATGTCGCAGGGGCCCTGAGGAGCATGGTTCAGTCAAGAGCAAGCCTCAGGAGTGCTGCAAGAGGGAAAGCTGGGGAATGACCAAGCTTCTCTGCTCCCTTATCTTCTTCTCTTCATTTCTGGCCTCCTCCTGTCCTTGCCTGTCTTATCATCTGCTCTCAGCATCTGGGTCCCCAGTGGGAGCGCATGCACTTTCTCATGCACGTGGAATTTCTGTCCCCTTGGACCCCATGGCACACGGTGCTGGGTTCGCCTGATGTGTAGACACAGGACGAGGCAGGTGTCCCAGGCCTGCTGCAGCTGCTGTAGACCTGGCTTTCTCCACACAGCATATCAGTGGCACACTTCTGCTCCCCTGCAGTGTATGAAGGGTTTTGTGTAAATTTGGGAGTAAATCCCACTGATTTTGGGGAAAAGAATCCTCTGTAAAGGAAGAGGAACTTGTCAAGCAGTGGATATAATCACAGTTTTATAAACATATATAGTTAATTAAAAAGAAGAAACAAAACTCTACAAGCATAACAAATACTACTAGGTACACTGATACTATTTATTGTATTAGTGATATGATTAGTCTTATCATTGGTATCATTATAGAAGTCACTTGTTTTCAGTTTGTAGCTTGTGTAGACTTTTGACTGGTTTCTGCTTTCTTTTCTGAGTGTCCATTTGTCTTTTTATCACTCCAGAGAAAGATGCAAAGAAAAATTTAAATCTTTTTTGACGTTGTTAGTACATTGGGAAACTTAGTAAAAGGGAAGAGTTTTTTTGTTTTGTTTTGTTTTGTTTTGTTTTGTTTTCCTGCAATGGGAATTGAACCCTGGGGATCGAAGTCATGCTGGCCATGCAGGCCCTGCACCTATGAGCTGTACCCTACCCTCAGTCCCTGGGCCCTAGGGTAGAGTCCTTTTGAATAGGACTGGATTTAAGTAAGTCATTCTCAAGTTCCTCTTTAATTTAGGAAGGATTGTCTGGCTTTTGCAAGCTTGCTCCAGCCCCTATCTTTTCTTTATATCACTTTCAGGATGAAAAAGAAGAACAACTTCGTGTGGAGCTCTCTGAAAGGGTCCTTCTCCAGTTAAGGCCTGCGCCTGCTGCCTAGGCATAAATAAGAGTGTTGACACATTGTTTTCATAGAGAGCAATCACTTCATGTATATTCAGTTGTTATTCACTTCTGTAAGGTTGATTACTATAGGTTTTAACTTACCCATCTTATTATAAGTATCACGACTTCATTGTTGTAGAGCAACGCAAAAATAAAATCACAGTTTTTAAGAAACTGTTTCAAAAAACTGTTTTTAAAAAACTGTGACTCTCACTACAACTTAAAAACATTGTTATTTAATGTATTAAACTAATTCAAGTGTAGTTTATGACCAACTTTACAATTTTAATAGTTTTTCTGTATATTTTATATACAGATACGGTTTATAATAGGTCATAGTTTATGATAAATTTTTTTATATATTTAGTTTACTTGGCAATACATTTGCAGAATAAAGTTAAGAATGCATTGTATGCATTTGTGAAGTAATTTCTGGTGTTTCCATAGTGATTTTCTTATTAGTGCATATTATAGAGAGTGATGGGTTTCATTTGGTATACATTTCAAAATCAGTAAACCTGATTGTACCCTAGAAACAACCAGGTTTTTTTTTCCTTGTCTTTTTTAGCTTTCTAGGTAGAATTTATTGACAGAGTATGCAGATATTTCATGAAGTAAATATCAATTTGGGTAACACTGTTTTTTCCTTAATCATCTTTTGTCTCTGGAGTGAGATACCCGATATGCACAGTTTGCAGATAAATTGGCCCATGGTTTCAGTCTCTGTTCCACTGACTCCCAGGTGGCTGCCCCAGGAAGCTGGCTGGGGAGAAGGCAGCTGGGCCCATGGCAGCCCAGAAGTGGGGAAGCACAGCGGTCTTGAGGGGGGGGCAGGGACAGTGTGTGCCCCGCTCCAGCTCATACCTTTACCTGTTGCCTGTGCATGAACACAGGTAAATGAGGTATGTGACACAAAGATCATTCATCTTATCCATACATTCACCTGTAACTCACTGTTACTGCTGTTGATCATTGCATTTTTTACCTGTGTTTTTGCAAGTATCACAATGACCCACTTCCTCACCAGGCCTCTGCTACTCAGTGTTGGGTTCACTGGCTGCACTGTGTGACCCAGTCGCATCCGGGACCCCACTCCTGAGCATCACCTCACTGAGCATGAAACCCCAGCATGGAGGGTATCTCTGGGAGACCTTTCCTGCAAGCGGAAGTGAGCCCTGTCACTCCCTGGTATCCTGCAGTACCCATTTACTATCAGAGAGAGTGATTGCTTGCATCTTCTCTCTCTTATTTCTTATTCAATTTTATCCCAGATTTAGCACATTATTCATTGACTCAAAGACATGTAATTTGGGTTTCTGGTCCTTTCTGGTCTGTATTTTATTTCTCCTACTCATCAGTTTTCATTTCCTGAATTTGTTTTTATTTATTTATTTATTTATTTATAAAGTAGCTTATGAAGAATGAATTTGTTTTTAAAAGAATGTTGAAGACAGATGTGGTGGGACATACCTAGAATCCCAGCACTGAGGAAGGCTGAGACAGGCAGATTGCAACTTGGAGATTTCCCAGGACAACTTAGAAAGATCCTGTCTGAAACAGAAAATTAAAAACACAGGAGCTCAGTGGTAGAGAACTGCTGGATTCAACTCCCAGTACCAAAACAAAAAAGAACAAAGAGTTAACCTCACTGATACGTAAATTATAAAATATTCTACTAAATTCACTATTTCCCTAACTTCCCTGTCAATTATTGCCTTAGAAGTCTTCACAGATTTAACAAGTGGACTTCTCTGTTTCAGGATGTAAGCCATTCAGAGTGTGCAGCTAGGACACACTCTCACTTGCTTTGGTGGACTGAAAACTTCCCCAGCCTGGAGTTCTGTTTCCTACCAGTCATGCAGGACAAGGTTTCCTCCAGTCCCCTTACTGTAGCTTTTCTCTGCTGTGGCATTGTCCGGGCCCGCTGCTTCCCAGAGAAGGAGTGGCTGCTGTGACTTAAGATGCAACAGAAAGGGGGTTTTCTGCTCTCTGGTGCCCTGCAGGGAAATGGCGGGAGCTGGCCCAGGCGCCCCCCTCCAGGGTCCAGCCCCTATATCCTGCTTGTTCTCCGGAGGCAGCCCCGGATATTTAGCTTGGCTCCCTGACCAGATGAAAACGCTGTAGTGCTCACTTCCTGTGATGCTCTTGCCCTGTCCACTGCTCTTTCCCCCCAGGCTGTGTCTCTGTCCAGTCTCTGCACTCACAGTCTTGTGTTGTGCTTCTGCTCTTTGTGCCACTGGGAGGCAAAGTTCCCCTGCCCAGTGCTTCCTCCAGGGCTGCTCTTAATAAATGCCAGGATTTCTGGATTTTGCTTGGTTACTGGCTCACTCAATCCTCAATCTGTTATTTCCTGTTGGTTCCTCCTCTCTCCTGATTCCTGAACTGGACTCCTGCAGCAGCTTGTGAGGGCCAGCAGTTCCTGGGGCTACTGTCTGTGAACTTCAGCAATGCAGCTTCAAAGTGTGACTTTGCCTTCAAAGTGTGACTTTTCCCATACTTAAGGTATGCTTGATTGTTAAATTCTCATGGAATCAATTTCTGGTTTCTAGAGTTTTCTGTAATTTGCATATTAGTAGTTAAAGTAAAAAAGGGAATACTTTATGATCAAATTTAACACTGAAGTACAATTGGTAATGAAGAGTGGAGGAGATGGAGGGCTAAAAATTCTGACATGAACATAAATCTAACCACACTACTAATCAATGGTGTTGTGTTTGACAGAGTGATCAAGTTCATTTCAGAATTTGATTATGTATCTGAAAAATGAGAATACCTAAAATATTGCATATATGTATGTATATATATAATATGTATGTGTGTATATGCTTGTATGTACCTTTCTTCATATTATATGGTGTATTATCTCTAGAAATGACTCTATAAAATAAAAAGGCTAAAGTTCTATAATATTGACTTATATTTTATAGAGTAGATATTATTGATAATAGGGATATTTTTAGATTATTTTACTATTTTTTTAAAAAAAAACAAAATTTCATAGCAAAATAATAAAGAATAACAATACTCAATGCACTGTGCATCATTATCCCCAAAGCAGTTACTCAGAGTACACAACGTACACAGAAAAGTTCCTCTCTTACAAAGAAGCAGATAATAGTACAAAGCCTTCAAGATTGTGAATTGTACAAGAAAAATTTTAAAAATCACTCGAGAAGAAAACCAGAACCATGAAGCAAGTATGTATTATCTTCCACAGTTCTCTTAGTTTGTTTCCTCTTTAAAGTCCAGAGAGAATTTCACACAAAAATTGGTCCAGCTCAGTAATAAGGTAGTAAGCTCAGGGTGATGTCAGCATGCCAGGTCTTGGGGCACACTTAACCCATCCACACCCGTCCTTCATCCTGGATGGGCCTGCAGAACAAAGCAGAGGGTGAGCTCTCCGACAGGCTGAGACCACTGCAGGAACAGAAGGTAGTTGCTGCTCCTGACTCATTGATCTGCTGCAAAAACTTTGCACTAGATCTTGACAATATTTCCTAGCTTTTTTCCCTATCATTTATTTTTCTGGAGCAAAGAAAATGTGCTTTCTTTTTAAAGCTTTCATATAACATTTATTTACTAAGAAATAAGCACTTGGTTTGCAGTTATTTATTAACAAACTGATACAAATTTCTTCTTTATATTTAGATGTTCTTTTGATGTACTTGTTTCTTGAGATACAACTTTTACAGAGAGAAAGCTAAAGTTACATTTCAAGAGGGGATGGTGCTGTTATAGCAATGCAAGAAACACTAGACTCAGTTATACTTATTTTTCTATGGGGAAGCTTACAGAGCTTGGTGTGGACTCTGATTGCAGCCTACAGTGGAAAGCTGGTATTTCCAAGAGAGCAGAGGAAGTGCCATGCTAGGTATCTGGCCTTTGGGTTACACATCAATCCTAGCTCCATTTAGTTTTGCAGTGTTAGGCAAATACCTGGAGAACCTGAATATGAAATCTGTGGGGAAAAATAA